CGAAATTCCGGGTGGGAATTCCCAAAAATCCCAATGGGAACGGCCGAAATTCCGGGTGGGAATTCCCAATGGGAACGCCTGAAATTCTGGGTGAGAATCCCAAAATTCCGGGTGGGAATCCCAAAATTCCCAATGGGAATTCCCAAAATTCCGGGTGGGAATGCCCAAAATTCCCAATGGGAACGCCCGAAATCCCAATGGGAACCGTCAAAATTCCAGCTGGGAATCCCAAAATTCCCAGTGGGAATGCCCGAAATTCCGGGTGGGAATCCCAAAATTCCCAATGGGAACGCCCCAAATTCTGGGTGGGAACGCCCAAAATTCTGGGTGGGAATTCCCAGTGGGAATTCCCAAATTCTGGGTGGGAATCCCAAAAATCCCAATGGGAATTCCCAAATTCTGGGTGGGAATGCCCAAAATTCCCAATGGGAATGCCCAAAATTCCCAGTGGGAATCCCGAAATTCTGGGTGGGAATGCCCAAAATTCCCAATGGGAACGGCCGAAATTCCGGGTGGGAATCCCAAAATTCCAGGTGGGAATCCTGAGACACCCTTAGGGGGCCATGCTGGTGTTCAATTCCCCTTTCTCTCGCCCATTCACATCCCAAATTCTCGCTGTCATTCTGGGCGTTTTTCCTTGTAATTCCCAGTGTTTTTCCCAGTGTAATTCCTGATGTAATTCCTGGTGTTTTTCCCTGGAATTCTGGGTGTAATTCCCGCTGCCATTCTGGGTGTTTTTCCCTGTAATTCCCGGTGTTTTCCCTGGTGTAATTCCTGGTGTAATTCCGCGTTTTTCCCAGTGTAATTCCAGCTGTAATTCCCGGTGTAATTCCGTGTAATTCCCGGTGTAATTCCATGTTTTTCCCGGTGTTTTCCCCGCCCAGGGCACGACGGGGGCATGCTGGTGTTCAATTCCCCTTTCTCTCCTCCATTCACATCCCAAATTCCCACTGCCGTTCTGGGTGTTTTTCCCTGGAATTCCCGGTGTTTTTCCCGGTGTTTTTCCCAGTGCAATTCCTTGTTTTTCCCGGTGTAGTTCCGTGTTTTTCCTGGTGTAATTCCCGGTGTAATTCCGTGTTTTTCCCAGTGCAATTCCCGGTGTAATTCTGTGTTTTTCCCGGTGTAATTCCGCGTTTTTCCAGCTGTAATTCCCGGTGTAATTCCGCGTTTTTCCCGGTGTTTTTCCCAGTGCAATTCCCGGTGTAATTCC